TAGAGACCACCTTAAGCCTTCTCCACCCTGCTATGCTTTTACCCCTGCTAAAGATGCAAACCCTGGGTTAATAAGGTCCCGTAACCATGGCTACACCATAACCCCCATCATCCCTCAGTTCTGTTCCTGACAGCCAAATACCGCTCCCTGTGTGCTCTCAAGCCTTGTTGCTGGCAGGGAGCTGCAATTCCTCGTCACTAAGCTGTCCCCCCAGAAAGGCCCACTGTGACCTTTTCCTTTCCCAGCCTCCCCTGATGCTCGCGACCTTATAAAAGACCTCATAGCCTGTACAGGAGGAACAGGCCTGGTCTAAGGGCCAGGGCGGTCTCTCTCAGGTTTGTTCTGACCTAAACCTGTCCTGCTGAGCTCTTGCATTTGCTTTTTCCTCCTCTGCTCCTAACAAAGACGTCTGAAAATAAGCCATGCTGCGTGGTGGTGGAGTGAATGGCCGTGCACGGCCACTGCCAGCAGGCGCCCAATTAGCAAGAATTACGCTCAGATCAACCTCATCGGCTACGGTGCTGCCGCTGTGCAAAGCTTGAGCAGGGTGCCCCCAAACAAGCATGCTGTTTTGTCCCAGGGAACCAGTAGAAATCCTTGGAAAGTTTGGAAATCGTATTGTACATTGTATCATCATTAAAAACTATTTGTTTTTGGTGGTGCTGGGGATTGAATCCAGGATCTTCACAATGAGCTACAACCCCAGTCCTTTTTCCTTTTTTTTGTGTGACAGGGTCTCACTGAGATCCTGGGCTGAAACTTGAGATCCTCCTGCCTCAGCCTCCTGAGTGCTGGGACTACATGCATGTACCACCATGCCAGCTCACCTCTAGTTCTTGCTGATTTCTGAAACCACACATGGTCCCCCGACAGGCACCTGTCTGCGTGCTGGCAGCCCCAGGTGCTCTCTGAGTCCCGTTGGTGACCTCCAGGCTCCCAGCCAAGAGTCAGAGCTCCGTGGAGACTGATCAGGTTCAGCCAGGCAGTTGCTCAGTGCCTCTCTGGAGTTCAGTGTGCTCAGAGCTGCCTCAGATGCCCAGGTTCCTTGGGCCTGGTCTGCTCCATGTGCTCACCCCAGAGTTCACGAGATAAGCCCCGCACAGCCCGCGGCGCACCAGCTTTGAAGGAGCAGAGTGCACAGCGGCACACTTAGAGGTGGAAGGTGAGACAGCCTGAGTCAGTCTCGCTCCAGAGTCCCGCAGGACCGATCCTAGAAAAATTTCATCTTAATCTGCAAGAGCAGGGGAAGCTCTGGGGAAGCTCTACACAGCAGAGTAGAAGGGAGAGGAAGGTAGGTGCTGAAAGCACAGGCAAGAGGGCCTACAAGCTCTCTTCTGGCATCAGGCTCATGGGACTCCGTCTGCGCAGCCAGATCCTGCTTGTGTGCGTGCCCACACCCTGCCCCAGCACACTTTCCACACTGAGGGCCCAGGAGGGAAGTGGTTGCAGGACACTGGCTTTCATTTTTTTTTTTTTGTACCAGGAATCGAATTCATGACCTCAGGCTTGCCAGGCAGGTGCTTATGCTGCTGAGCTATATCCCTGGCCCAGGATACTGGCTTTCAGAGCCAGGCATGGTAGTGCATGCCTATAATCTCAGCACTTGGGAGGCTGAGGCAGGAGGATCGCTAGGAGTTTGAGGCCAGCCCGGGCTACATA